ATAGTCATCAGAGATGAAGAGTTCCAGCCGAGGCAAAGTCCTACATCGCCCAAGCGATCCTACTGGCCATGGCGCTTACAAGCCCGTGCCCCATTCTGGAGTGAGGGCTTTCTGTAGTTTTGGGTGGGTAGGGTGTGTAGCCAAGTCGCTTTGGATGACGTAGGCGCTGAGGCTCTTGACTGAAGGCCCCTTGAACTCAGGATTCCATCCAAGACAGCTCCAGCATGAAACAATGGCTTTAGACCCGCAGCCCAAACACCAAAAGCTTGAGGCTTCAGGCTTCCTGACTGCCCGTGACATTGCATACGTTAGGCGGAGCTTCTTCTTCTGCTCTTTGAGTCCAAAGGTCCACTCATATAGATTTATTTGTTTATCTCCATGTGTCTGTCCCCGTGCATGATTGTCTTTGCAGATCCGTATATCTAGCCAGTTGAGATTGTGTTGATCTACTTTTTCACCTTCAAGGCATGATGTTTTTGCTGTGTGGATTCCCAGCAATTATCATGCTTACTCCAGATGCAAACCTCAAAGGTCGAAATCCTAAACACACAATCCTGAATCCTCGATGTAAAGACCCAGAATCAACCGACCCAACTCAGAGCCTGCCAATGGTTAGCATTTAGAACCGCTCCCCTGAACGGAAGCTTGTTAGATAGGGGTCCCGCATCTCGGGCATCTAGGGTTCTATCCAAGAAGGGCCCTTTGTTTTCTGATGTTCCTGATGATTTGTGGCAGGCCAGCGACCCCTCACGGCTCTCGTGGCGCGATGCCTGCTGATCTCACTGGTTGCTTGGCCCCTGACCCCGACCCTTGCGGCTTCGAAGTTTTTGGGTTAGGGCTGGCGTGATTTGAGGGCTTGCGGCGGCGTACTGTCACTGCGAGGTGCCTCCGGTATAGGCGAGCCCGGTGGTTCCACGGCTTTCGCTTATCACGTTCCTTCCAGTCCCTTGCAACTGCATCTGCTGAGGACACCACATTCATTGCAGTGCTGCACGCATTGTGAGCGGCAATCGTGCTCTCGCCGGTCCGGTGCTCACTTTGGCCACACTTTTTCCAAAGTTGGCAATCATGCTCCTGCCACAGTGCCTGGCACATTTTTCATTTTGGGGCGCGATCGCCATCTCGCCACAATCCCGTGCACGTCCGCCTCTCGAAATCGTACTCCCGCCACAGTGGCGTGTTTTTGGGGCGCGACTCACAGTGCAGCAGTATTGGGGGTCTACGTTGAAGCTTGAGCCGCTGAAATTCCAAATGTACACCTTCACAAGACTACATGCGCCCTCAGAAGCAGCCGCATCAGAAAACCTTGTAGAAACGGCCTAGATCCGGCACATGAATCTCCTTGAGACCTGTAAGACCTTCACCTGAAAACCTAGATCCTGGGAAACCAAGCCAAAATCCATAAGCCCAGGGGTCCGCAAGCTCAATGCCTTCAGGCTTTGCCCCGAAAGCTCCGACTGCCAGGTCATTGCCACCAGCATCCAGTTTGACTGGCCCGACCCGCCGCTGCTCAAAGAAGCGCCGGCGTTGGTGTTTCCAGGCTCCTGGGCTCCTGGCTTGTTTCGCGGGTTTTCGGTTTGGGTTTATGGCTCTGGCATTTTCTACTGTTACCTTGGTGGTGAAAGGAATGTTGATGTGAAGCAGGAAATAAATTATGCTTCTGCTACACTCGCGCACTGCTGTGGGCTCGAGCAGGCGCGCTTCCGGCCCACCTCAGCGAGGCAGAGATGGCAGCAGGACTCACGCAGCCCCAAGGTGCGAATGCATGAGAGTTGACGATGACAATGTCTTGCGCGGGTTCAGCATGTTCAGCGCAGAGAATTTTCGACCTCACATGTGGGACAGATTTTTGGGGTGTGGCGTACCGTTCGCATCCGTTCACCATCAAGAAACAGGGTGTCGATGACGCTCATGATTGTGTGCCACATGCCGGTGGTGGATCGCGTAAAGCGATGCTCATGATGGGTGCCGTTGGGAAAGCAGCGACTTTTCCTGATGATGTTCATGACGTATGCCCCGTCGCTGTGGTTGGTCAGGTCAGGCTGCAAGTCTGATGTGCCGATGATGTTCGTGACGTGTGAAGCAGCTACAGCGCCGACGATGCTCGTGAACCGTGGTGTGTGTGGCTGAGGTAGATCGAGTTGAGCAGCAATTTTCCTGCCGACGTGATGCTTCGATGGTAGTGCGTTTAAGCAGAACCCCTGGTGGCAATGATTCTCTTGATGCGTGCCTTGTTGCTGTGGAAGATCAGTAAGGGGAAAGCCTGGTAGCCTGGTGCCGATGAGACGCATGATGTGTGTGCCTGTTGGTTGGTGTAGAACGCTAGCGCTAGCGTGGGGTATTGCGGCTGTCAAGCCAGTAACACTTTTGTAGATGATTCTCATGATGTGTCCTTGCGGAGCGTGCCTGGTCCACGCTCGCTGATTGGGTTTCCGTGAGGTAATGCAGCAAGCCTAGTGTCGATGATGCTCCTGATGCATGGGCTGCGGCTGTGGTGAAGCAAGTTGGGCGGCATGCCCGGTGCCGATGATGCTCGTATTTTAGGGTTAAGGCAGCAAGCCTGGTGCCGCCGTTACGCATGATGTGTGCTTTAATGTGCTTCAAGGCTTCAGCAAGTCTCGCGCCAATGATGCTCGTGATGCCTGTGTTGTTGCTCTGGTAGATCGGAGGAAGCAGAACACTTGGCGCCAGTGATGCTCATAATGCGTGCCCATCTGCTCTGGTGGATCGCGTATATTGGACTGGTGCCCACGATGCTTATGCCGCATGCCTGGGATTTAGTCACTGGCTGTGGATGATGCCAAATGGGCATGCATACTGTGTGTGTCGTGTTGCGTTGGAGGTCGGGTCCAGCAGCACGCCGTGATGCTTGCCTTGCGGTTGTGGTGGATCGGCTGATGCAGAAACCTGGTCCCGATAATGCTCCTGATGCGAGCATTGCGGTTGTGAAGGTCAGGTTAAGCAGGAGAGTCATTACGTTGCAAGCCTGGTGCCGATGATGCTGATGATGCGTTCCTTGTGGCGGTGATGGGTGGGTCTACACGTGCTGACAATGCAGGATGCATACCTTGAGGCTGTGGTAGGTGGCCTTAGTGCTGATATTGTGGATTGAAGTAGCCATCTGCAGGCCTTGCGGTTATGCCGTCAGGTTGCAAAGTAGACTTGTACCGACAATGCTCGTGATGCCTGCCGTGTGGCTGTGGTTGATCGGCTTGAGCAGCAAGCCTTGTGCATGCTATCTGCTGTGACGTAACAGAACAGCAAGCAGGCCTGGTGCCGATGATCTGGTTGTTGCAGATAGGGTGAATCTGTCCGACAACGCCCACGATGCATGCACTGCAGCTTTGGTGATCAAGTTGAGCAAGAGTGGTTCCCATGAAGCTCATGATGTGCAGCTTGGACCGTGCGCTCAGCCTCGTGCCGATGATGCCGATGCTGCTTAAATTGTGAGTGTGGTTGGCCAGGTTCAGCAGCCTGCACGGTGCCGATGATGCTCGTTGATTCGGTAATGTGGGGCTTCCAAGCCTAGCCGATGACGCTTCTGATGCGTGGGTTGCGGCTGTGGTGAAACAAGTTAAGCAGTATGCCCAGTGCCGATGATGCTCGAATGTTGCGTCAAGGCCGCGAGCCTCGAACTACTAATGCTCATGATGCGTTCCTCGTGTCTGCTCCAGGCCGGGTTGAGCAGAACCCCTGAGCCACTGATGCTCTTGATGCGTGCTGTTAAGGCTTCGGTTGCTCAGCAAGTTTTGTGCCGATCAGACAGGCGCTTTTGTGCCGATAAGACGTGATGAAACCCAGTTGAAAACCGGTGTCCTGACAATGCTTATGATCCGTGCCTTGATGCTGTGGTAGATCAGGTCAAGAGCAAGCCTGGCGCCGATGATGCTAATGATAGGTGCCCTGATGATGCTCATGATGCGAGCCCTGGGTTGTGGTGGGTGTCGCTAGGCGGCAAGTCTGATGCCGATGATGCTCATGATGCATGCCATATGGCTGTGGTGTGTCTGACTAGGCAGCAAGCTTTGTGCTGATGTTGCTCAGGATGCATTTGTTGCTATTTGGCGGCAGGGGGGTCTGTGAGCAGTTGTAGGGAAATGCTCAGTAATACATCGATGCACTTGGTTGAATCTGGATGCCCGCAGCGGCCCGATGTGCCCAAAATGCGCCGCCGGAGGCCTTATGCCGTCAAGTTGCTAAGTGAGACATGTGCCGACGATGCTCATGATGCCTTGTGGCTGTGGTTGATCGGAGTTGATCGGCTTGAGCAGCAGGCCTTGTGCATGCTATCTGCTGTGACGTAACAGAACAGCAAGCAGTCTGGTAATTGTGAGTGTGGTTGGCCAGGTTCAGCAGCCTGCACGGTGCCGATGATGCTCGTTGATTCGGTAATGTGTGGCTTCCAAGCCTAGTGCCGATGATGCTCCTGATGTTGACGATGATTGTGGTGCATGACTTGCTGTTGTATGTAATCAGGTCAAGAGCAAGCCTGGCGCCGATGATGCTAATGATAGGTGCCCTGATGATGCTCATGATGCGAGCCCTGGGCTGTGGTGGGTGTCGCTAGGCGGCAAGTCTGATGCCGATGATGCTCATGATGCATGCCATATGGCTGTGGTGTGTCTGACTAGGCAGCAAGCTTTGGGCTGATGTTGCTCAGGATGCATTTGTTGCTATTTGGCGGCAGGGGGGTCTGTGAGCAGTTGTAGTGCCGACAATGCTCAATATTCTATCGATGCATTTGGTCAGAGCAGTCCGCCGCAGGCCTTGCGGTTATGTTGACGGTTGCAACGTGAGACATGTGCCGACGATGCTCATAACGCCTGCTTTGTGCCTGTGATGAACTTAAGCAGCAAGGCTTGTGCAGCTGATGCGTATGATGCGCCCTGGTGCAGAGTCGAAGCCGAAAGTGAAAGCTTTCACATGTTTCGGAGGCGGTCTTCTCCCTCAAGGGGACGCGAGCCGAGACGAGCGAGCCGGCATGGGCCAGACACTCGGCTGCATCGGCTGCTAAGTTGCGTGCGAAACCAAGGTTTGGGCCTTCGGAGGGTTCAGGGTCTTGGTGAGGGTGGCAGGTCTAGCATATGGTTGCGATTCAGGGACGGGGTTTGGAGTGATCATGGGGTGGGGCTTTCCGAGGCCCCTGTCCATCGTTGGCTGGCTGGAAGTGTGTTTGGGAAGGCCTCACAAGATTCACGGCTGGATTTCAGTGTGGATGCAGTGCAGTGCCTATCGACATTGGCTGAGGACTTGCGTTGGGACACACGCCCGTGGTTCTGTCTGTTTTGCCGTGGACCCGCACTCCCCGAATGCCTGTTCTTGCGAATTGAAAGTTTCGCATGTGCGGAAATGATGTAAAGTGTCGAATGTGCTTCAGCCTGTGTACAGAAACCGAGCTAAAGCTTCAATCAATCCCCATAGGCCCATAGAAGACAAGAAATGACCTTGTTGAGCCTTCAACCTCAAAGGCCTCAGCCCTGAGCCCCAGTCCAACACACAAGCCGAGGACTGTGGTGCGGCTTGTGGGTTTACTCCTTCTTGCGAAGTCGCTTTGGCCGAACTCAATGCTCCAGAGTTTCGGGCTCACAGGTTTGCTGACAATACCGAGCAGTTCATGTCCTCAATGCCCTACACTCCTGCTTCGCTCCCGTGCGTTGTTTCTTTTGCTCTTAGGCCTCAGTGCCGTGGCCCTAAACACTGAAACCTCCATTGCGAGTTCCCCTGGAACCTCAAAGTCAGAAGCCTCTGCGCCTGCACCTTTCACCTTGAACTCGGCGCCTTTTAAAGCCCATTTCAGGCTCCTTGGGAGCCAAAGCAGCAAGTCGGCTATTGGCTGGGGTGCCGCATTCTTCGTGCACTGTTCGGTTGCCTATGTCTCGTATTACCGGTCCCAGACATCACGGAAGCTGAAGTGATGACAGTCGAGCGTGCCTGAGCGGACCGGGATGTGGACTTTAGACTTTTCTGGGCGACTCGAGTAGAGCACCTAGGCTGGGATGCCTGTGACTCGAGCCAGGCTCAAAGATGCATTTTTGCGAGGCCTGCAAACCGACCCAGTGTCGGAGGCAAGCAAAAACAAACACCTGACCGCAGGTTGTACATTCCCTGAGCCTGCGTCGCTGCGCGCCAAGACTTTCAGTGTACATATTCACGGCACCAAGCCTTCACGGCAGACTGAAGTGGAGCGGGAAAAAGCTGGGCCGCGAGAAGCTCGTACGAAGTCCTGAATTCGAAAGCTATTTGGGTGGTGGAGGTGGCGGGGGTGGGGGATGGGGGGACAAATTATAGCCGAAATATCAAAATCCCAGCTGTTGGCCGCCAATGGAGCAGGAGATAGCTGATGAGTGATTTTGCAGGGTAGAAGGCTACAGGCGGTCTTGGCCTGCTTCTGTGGAATGCCCCTCGGGTTGCGCGTGATGCAGGCCAAGAAGAAGGAGAAGGCGTGCCGGCCGGTTGCGGCACGTGGCTTCCCATGTCGGGTCGAGGTTTCTGACTTTCGCTGCTTGGTAGTTTCCAAAGGATCCCCAATTAACTTGGTAGGGCAGTTGTTACCAACAGAAGCCCCACGCCAATGCGGGGGTCGCCAGATGTTGTGGACAATCAGAATTGCGAGACAACGAACTCTTTCGAAGAACGTAGACTCCCTGGCCAGAGAACCCTAAGCACGGCCGGCCCTGGTTCCGGCAGCCTTGAGCGAAGCAGCGGGGGACCCTGAGCTAAGCCCTTCCAAGACCTCTGCAAGGCCAACGACGCCGCTATCGCGAATCTGGGCTTAGTCCCTAGCGTGGGCGCGATTTGTCAAAGAAGTCGCTAGGACCAGCAGCCGGGGCCTAGACTTGTCATCCCGTGTCTGTGACTCATCTCACCATATTCGTTCTCATCTTAAGCCTGAAAAGACATTCGAGCAATCCATGCACCGGAACAGTACCCTTTGACCCTGCGCCCGAAACCGTTTACGTCGCGACATGAAGCATGGCATATACTGCACGACGTAGGGTGATGAGTCGGCCGGAGTTTCAGAGTGGATAGCATAAGGTCAATGTCGACTGACGCCTGAAGGTGTGACCTCCGAACAAGACTCGTTTCTTCTGACTCAGGGGCCAACGAGTGCCGGATAGAGACCATCTCCAGGACTTCCCTGATGCCTATACTTGTTGCAGTTTTCGTGGGCTGGGTTTTTTCTGACACTATCTGCATCTGCTCAAGCACTGGGGATTGCACAGCATGCCAATCATGGTATTTGATATTAGGGTCTTCATGCGGAGTCCTGGCTACTCCCCCAAATGATGGGTACGAGTGTTAGATCCCTTCTAGATTCTAGTCTTTATCCTCGCCGGCTCATAACACGTGAAATGCGAGCAGGGGTTCAGCAGCTCGCTTGGATTTCGGTGTTCTCAAGTTGCCGGTTCGGTGATGGAAGTGTTTGGCGTGGTAACAGACCGGAAGCCTAGTCCGTGAAGGCTGGCGGAGGCAGGAGTTATTCTTCTGCACACTCTTAATTCTCCAAACTTGTGAATCCGAGTAGCTGGCTATGTATCTCTTGCTTTTCGAGTTTCGTTTTTCATGAATCAATAGACTCAAAGGGCGACAGGAAGAAGGATCCAGTCAATGTATCACTCCATTGTGTTAAGACCCAGATTGCCTAGATGTTTAAGGCTCCGGCGTTTAACCAGGCCTCGTCCTCAGACGCTTTGCGGAGGATCCACCACTTCGCCCACGGGCCTGGCTACAGGCTCCAGGTGCACGAGGGGGTTGCGGTTGCAGCTGAAGTCATAATTTTAGTCAGCTGAAAGAGATATTCAGTGGGTCGGTTCTTCTGCAAGGATAGGAGGTAAATCGAGAGGGCGCAGCCCTACACCCTGGCTGCTGCTCCCACGCTTACCCGTGGTTAGTCACATAAGCTTGTAACCCGAAGCTTGCCAAGTGTGCAAAAAGTCTTGGAAGGAGGTGAACAGCGTGGAGGGACCTCGCACCCAAACCGCCCTTGAGGTAAAAGGTGTGAGCACAGACTGCTTTACAGAGTGCCTTACTCTGTCGAGGTGGCAGAGGGCATGGTGGCGCATCTAAGCTGCAGTGGGTGACCTTCAGCTTAGGACCTCGAAACATCTGAATTCCACTTGCGGTGGTCAGAGAATTGTTGTGTTTGGCGCTCCAGACAAGGATGCACTCATTTTCTTTTGGCTCTGACGGCATCTCTGAAGCCATTGCACCTTCAACGAGCATTGGGCTACGCAGTGGTGTCCGTTGCACAAGTGGCGATTGAACTTCTCACCAAAACACTAAACTCGAAACCCGACCCTAGCCTGTCACAGGCTAAGCGGCTAAACCCAAACCCCATGTTCTACACCCAAAGCCCCAAAGCCATGAGCTTCGCAGCAACCACGGACCCTGAACGGGCTTCAACGCAGTACTCAAACCAACCTCTGTTTATGCGAGTTCTATTGACCCACAGGGGGAGCTGCCCGAAGTTGTGATCGCAACAGGTATCCCCACTGGAAGAGCTAGGGCAAGGGGCGGCGCGGGTGCCGCGAGCGACCATCCGCAACTGCAATCCCCGCGACTTCAATTCTCAAGCTGAAGCCCATGCCACCTGAGCTGCAGACCGCTTGCTCCCAGGCAGCGCCTGAACCTGTTCACGAATCGCAGGGAGATCGCTCTCAAGGCCGGATTGCAATTGCGTGGGAGGGCTTTGGCCATCAGGTCCCAGGACTACCCTGAAGTCCTGAAGCCCGAGGTGCATGTCCGGTTACTCATTACCCAGGCCTTTTTTGGGCAGTTCTCTGTGTGTGTGTGTGTGTGTTTACGGTTAGATTTGCACGTGCAAATCTCCTTTGACCTAGACTCCGGCTCAGTTCCTAGACCCATCGTAGACAGGAGTTCACGAAGACAAGGCGCCCTCGTGCAGACTGATCGTTCATACAATCCCTGTGCAGTGATCCCAAAAAAACACAGAGCGATGGACCTCATAGATACCTGCGCGAAACCCCCGTGTTGATATTATGACAACACATGACTATAGCCGTGCTCGTGACTGCTAGTGATTGGGGGACGGGGGAAGAGAGAGGGCCTCGGGCGAGGACTGGCTCTCCGCTGTGCTGGGTGCCTTGGAGAGCCACGACCCCGGTGCTCGCGCGGCTTTAAACTACAACATGTGGCATGGCCTTGCCCCGTTGTCCTTGTGGAGTGAGAGCTCTGTCCTAAAGACAGCAACTCGAGCACTGCTTTCTTGGGTTTCTTTGCTCTGCATATTTGGATCAAAGCAGCGGCTGAGAACGGCGACAATTACTTGAGAAGGCAATGTTAAGACTGGTCATGGTCCTTCCTTCCCTGTTTTCGGATGCAAAACTGGGATAAGAACACCTGCCGGGGTGGCTCCACGATACATTCCTTACATGGTTGCACTTTCCCGAAGCCTTGCAGTCAGTCTTTCTCCAGAGGCACAAGCAAGTGGGCAGGTTCAAGTTGTCGAGGGCATGGGTCGTCCACGACTAAGACTGAAGTCAGGCTTCGCCCGGAACCATAATTCCGTACTGAGGTACGGGCACGCACATCATGCTCCTGAAACGCTCGTCCGGCAACGGTGAGGCGCCTCGGGACTACACCACTCGTGCGTGTCGCAGCTCGACTTTTTTTGCCCTGTCATCAGCAATGAGTTTTCTGGGCGTTGAGTGTCACAGTAGACTTCCGACTTGCCAGCAAGTTGGCGGACACGCAAAGCATCTGAAGCCGGTTTTTGTGAGCTGTCTGTCGGTCGTTGAAAAAAGCCACAGGTTGGTGGATGAAGTTGCACACTTGAACGCTGGGGTTCTTGACACGGGCCTGGCCTACAACGTGTTCCATGAACGGAACGCCCCGTGACAGCCGGCACGAACTGGCAAAGCAGATGCCGAAACCGATCTTCGGATAACGTGGCCATGTTGTCAGTGGCGTCAAACACGCATTTGGGGCGGACTTCAAGATATCACTCGCCGGCTCTATGAGTGCAGCCCTGCCTGCTGCCTGCCGGGTTTTGCTATGGACGATCTCCAGACTTGCAGGTGACGGGGGGAGTTATCACCGGAGAGAAGACGGAGGGCGGTGATGGCCAGAAGGTGGGCAAGGCATCCAGCCATGGCTTTCGATTGGGAGTTGCAGTGGGATTCCGGCAGATGGCTCTTTTTGGCTGCAAGACTCGGCTGACTTTTGCCGTCGAGGGCGGGGTTTTTGCTTCAAATTTGGGTCTCAGAGCTTAGACGATGAGTTGAGTTTGGATTTGATCAGGCTTGGAGTCAACAGAATTTCAACCACCGTTGTCGTACCGCACTCGGCCATGTCGCGCAGACATTCCACCGCTGAACTCGTAATTGTGTGTGTCCCTGCAAGGAGTTACCAAATCCAGATTGTTTTGAACCCCACCCTGAGCCACAATGGTGGGCTTGTTTTCAAGGCCACCGGGGAGATGAAGATTCAGCTCCGGCGCGACAAAGCGCAGCAGGCAGTCTGAAGGGCCTAAAGGCACACACCCACACACACACACACATATACACACACACTCACTCAACACCAGGAAGGGGGACTTTGCGTCTGAGTGTCCTGATATTACCTGGCAACATTACTGGGGATCTCGCAGGCCGAACAATTCGCGGTGCTTTCTGGCACGGTAGTCTGGAAGACGAGCACAGGTGCTGAAGATAAGCAAAAGGCACTCCAACGTTACATTGGCCACCGGACTTGGTTGCAAATTCTGCCCTTCCAGGTCCTCTGCCCGAGCAGCGGATAACACAAATTCTTAAAGCCGCGAATGGAATCCCAAATCACCAAGCCTTGAGCACTACCGCTTATCGCCACAGGCTGAGAACGACTGGCTTCAGTCCCTGCTCGGTGGCGAGGTGGGGGACCTGCGGCCTGCTGTCAGGGCCCCTTCAGCGATGGTTTA